GAAGCGTCTGGACAAGTCGTCCTACAGGTCCTCCCCCGAAAAGGGTCTGGACATGGTGTTGGAGATCCCTGGCGAGACCGCAGAGAGTAGCGTCGCGGTTAACCTGTCGCCGCAGACACAGGAAGACTTCACGCTGCATAATGGCGTCAATCTCCAGGGCGTGTCCTGGGACACACACGGCCATGAGAGTCCAAAACTCGACCCACCTGTTTCCCTTGGGGCGGATAGCCGCCTTAAGGGCATGGTTGTAGGCAGTTTTGACGGGGCCTGATGGGGCTTGAATGTCGGTGCCCGTGGTACAGACACTGGCAGCAAGGGAACGGGCGGGCCGCGCCTTAATAAGCATCGGTGATGGGAGCTTGCCAATGCGCGGCAGGCGACTAGTCGCCCTGCGAACACGGGCGTCAGCGGTGGCCGTGAGGTTAAGCGCGGCTGGAGCCGGCGCTGCCTCGGCGTTGATGTAACTCCCGACGAGCTTAAAGGAGTCGACCACGCGTAAGGGCCGTTCCGCCAACGTGAGCTGGGTAACGGCGGTGTGAAGCTCGTCAGTGAGCGCCCACCCCGCCACTTTTCCAGGATGAATGCGTTGACCAGAAAATCGATCAAACTTGGCGGTTTCATCAAGAGATTTCTGCAACTCAGGCGCGGTGTGGGTAGTGGAGTTGCTGTCGTCAACGAAGGTAGTGCTGAGTGATCGCGGAACGTATCGATGCTGTCTCTTGGTCCACACACACATGAGCAGCTTTATGTCGTCCAGGGACCAAGAGCTTCCCTGGAGGTGACCGTTAGTCCTGGCCAGTTCCTTAGAGTACGCACCGTTCATGCGGATGTAGCGTTTGTGGCGACTGTAGAAGTTTCTGCGGACAGTAACGATGTCTTGGGGGCACCCCGCGTGAAGCGCAAGGTTAAGGCAGATGTCCGTGATGAGGTAGTCGAAACACTTCTGTCGGTCAAGGGCAGCCCCAGCTAAGGGAAGGAGTAAGGGCCTGGCGTGTTCGATGCGCAGGGCAAGAGAGGTGCTGACGTCCCCAATGGTAGCTTTGGGGACAGCGCCAAAGCTCGTGGCGTGGGTCCATCCTTTCCGCCAGTCCGTGAGGCTGCGGTAAGCTGGCGCTTCCCACGCATACATCCAAACGGAAAGCACCGAGAGATGTCGTTGGTCCGTTGGGAGTTCGCCTCGGCCTTTTCGGAGGCACGGGTTTGGCACGTGGAGGAGGGGTTCTGGGGTGGTGCCAGTGCGTTGCATAGCGCGTAGGACGCTGGCGAAGAGGCGAAGAATGTCGTCGGGTAACTCCTTAGCCTCCTTAGTAGTCCAGCCGTCCAGTCCCCCCGCGCGGCGCGGTGAACGGGTGCGAATGAAGTGGATGAGTTGGTCGTCGGTGAGGTGGAAAGGGGTAGCTGGTGATGGCGTAGGCAGCTCCTGTCGGTACTCGTCGTAGAAGTTGCCCACGTCGGCATGGCTTCGGCGTCATGTCCCGCACGTGCACGGTACCTGCCCAAGATGGGCTCCCAGGTGTCGACCATGAGCTTCAGCATGTCCTTGGTGTTAGCAACAATGGCGTTGGCAGGGAGGATGTCGGGGACTTGCGCAGGTGGTGGTACACGAGTGTGGTCTTCGTCGCTGTCCGTGTCGGGCGAACTACCGTCGCTGGGGCTGAAGCCGCCAGCTTCGGTGTCAGCGTCGCTGTCGTCCGTGCAAGCTTCGTCAGGTTTAAAGGCGTTGGTGTCGCAGTGGAGATTCGTGTCGTCAGGTGTGGTAGGCGTGCGGAGATACGCCGTGGGCGAGCTGTCAGCAGCCCTTGCGTATATGGCCGCCTTTCGCCCGCTTGGCTCGCGGACGCCCTCAGCCCATATCTTGATGCGTTCAGCTTTGGCACGGTTCGCACGTCGCGCCAGCTCCAAGTCGAGGTGTTGGATCAAAGCGTCAAGGTGCTCTCCGTGAGGTACTGGCCCGTCGGGGGTCCAGGCCTCGGGGAAGTCTAGGAGAACCGTGGGGCGCAGCTTGTGGCATAAGAGGCGGGCCGCGGTCCACGTGCAGTCGATGCGCTGGGCGAGGTACGGCGGGATAGCACGGCAATCCAAATGATGGTGCTGTCCGATGAAACGGAGCTCACATAGTTGCCGATGGAGCTTGCGCAGTCGGTTCATGTGTATCGTGGAAGCTCCGTGGGTGGGGAAGGCGCGGGGGACAACTGGTCGATCTTCGAACGTGGGCGTGAGCCCGTGCATGGTGGGGGGCTTCTTTTTTGGGTGGTCGGGCGGTGGAGGTGGCAGGTCGCGCAGACGGGTGAGATGGTACTCATGGCTGGCCTCGTTAGCCAGGGCGAACATGCGCTCCACGTCGTCGCGTGTGTCGGCCTGTTCCATGCGGTCCTGATATCGCCCAGCGATGAGGGTACCTAGTGCCTGCAGCTCGTGACCCTCATGAGCTCCATCGTCGGGAGGGTAGGGCGTGGGGGCAAGAAGACGTCGGGCCGTATGGTCGAGGCGACTGAGGTCTAGCGTGACCTGCAGGCCAACATGAGACTTCGCTGGCAAGTCGCGAAGGTAGCAGAAGTCGGTGACAAGGGATCGCGCCGATTGGTTGGCAATGATATAATCGATGCGCGAAGTGCGGGGGCACTTGGTGACGCGGTCCCAGTCAGGGATATTGCCGTATGTGTGCATGGTGTGGTCTGGTGTGCCCTCAGCGACGTTGAACCATCCGTGCTGCAACATGTGCAGAAGGTGTGGATTGTCATCGATGTTCGTATGGGCGTCCATGCAGATGAAATAGGGGGC